TCCTCCAAGCTAAACATTCCCAGGGCCCTCAGCCTTTCCTCATAGGGCTTCTCGGTCTCCAGGCCCCGATCATCCTCATAGCTCTTCTGCACCCTCCCCATTTTGCCCACATCCTTTTTGGAAGTGAGGCCTCCAGAACTGCACACAGGACTCCAGGTGCAGCCTGACCAAGGCAGTATACGGAGGGGCTGTGACCTGCAATTTCGATGCTCCAGCCTTCGCCAATTTGGTGTAGTGGTTAAGTGCGCGGACTCTAATCTGGGAGAACCGGGTTTGATTCCCCACTCCTCCACTTGCACCTGGCTGGATGACCGTAGTTCTGACAAGAGGTGTCCTTGAAAAAAGAGCAGTTTCTGTCAGAGCTCTCTCAGCCCCACTGACCTCACAGGGTGTCTGTTGTGGGGAGCGGAAGGGAAAGGAGGCTGTCAGCTGCTCTGAGACTCCTTGGGTAGTGAAGGGCGGGGTATAAGTCCAATCAGTTTGGTGTCGTGGTCAAGTGCGCGGACTCTAATCTGGGAGAACCGGGTTTGATTCCCCACTCCTCCACTTGCACCTGCTGGATGACCTTGGGCAAGCCGTAGTTCTGATAAGAGCTGTCCTTGAAAAAGAGCCGTTTCTCTCAGAGCTCTCTCAGCCCCACCTCCCTCCCAGGGTGTCTGTTGTGGGGAGGGGAAGGGAAAGAAGTCTGTAAGCCGCTCTGAGACTCCCTTGGGTAGTGAAAGTATAAATCCAATCTCCTCCTCTTCTTCACCGCAAAGTAGCACAGACTCACCGCACTGCCGTGAAGCGGTCTCTCTGCATTTGTTGGGTGCAACAGCAGGACCACACCAAAGCCCCGTGGCACCTCCAAGAGCACCGCCATTTATTGTCCTCGACCACACGGGTAGTTCTGCTCTCCCTGCGTTGCTCACCCTGCAGCGGGCGTATTTTAATATTAACAGGCCCAGGCTGGCCCGATCATTCGGGAAGCTCAGCGGGGTCGGCCCCGCTCAGTGGCTGGGTGGGAGACCACCTGGGGAGTCCAAGGATCATGACGACGCAGAGTTAGGCCATAGCCGGCCACCTCTCAACATCTCTTGCCTTGAAAACCCTGCAGGGTCACATAAGTGAGTTGCGACTAGATAGCTGCAAAAAAGAAGATGGCTCAGTAAGACTTTGGAATCGTCTCCCTCCACTCCAACTGGATGGACTATTCTTTCGATAGGGAACTGGCCATTCCTCGGTCCCCTCCTCGCTGGCTGGTGCCTGCGGCTTGGAGTGTGACTGGACTGGACTAGGGATGTGAAGGCCCAGAAAAATTCAGAGAAAAAACGGGTTTTTCCGTTTTTTTCCTGAAGCCTTTTTGTTTTTTTCCGAAAAATTAGAAAAATTGAAAAAAGAAAAGATAAAAAAAATGATTATGGAACGTTTTATTTTAACATGATGAATAAAATATTTTAAGAGCAGGTGTTCAGATATTTTCCAAATCAGTTCTAAAATATATCTATATGGTATCAGATTGATCTAATTTCTGTGCACTGAGGACAAGCAAGTCCTAGGTTACAAACTGAACTCTCCAATGCAAGAACAAGATGCATTTCTTCCTTTAGGAGGTGGTATTGTCACGAGAAAAAAAAAGTTTCAGTTTTGTTTTTGCATGTGGGGGGTATTCTGTAATAATTGTTTGGATACACTATGTTTTTAATATGCTAGTTGTGATAATTTCATGCCAAGTAAAAATGTCCATAGTCATATTTTATGTTCCTAAAGTAACAGAATGACTTTCAATCTGGGAAAGACAAAAGAAGTGCTAATGTAGCGTTTTTTCCAATTTTTCCGATAATTTCCGTTTTCCCCTGGAAAAAAAACAGTTTTTTTCCCGAGCTTCAAAATTTCTGGAAATTTTACATCTCTAGACTGGACAGATGTGTGCTTCAGGCCACGCGTGGAGGGCGCTCTCTGCTTCCACAGAGTTGACCGCTAGCCTTGAGTGTGCTGCTGAACTCCTGCGTTTGCCGCTTCATTCTAAGGGGTGACAGAAAACATCGCTGGAGAGCAACCTAGATTTGGGAGTTTGGGGAGAGGAGAAAGGAGCTTTTCCTTCCCGCTCAGTCACTTGACCCCCAGCGAGACAAGTTTGTGTTGGGTTCCGAACCGCTAAGCGCAGAATCGTGTTTCTTCCCTCATAGTGTGTTGGTGCACTAGCGACGGAACGTGGACCCAGCGCTCCCTCTAAGCTGTGGAGTCTTGTGAGCAAAAACTCTACCATGTGAGCTCCTGGCATTGAAGCTGTGAGCGAGTTGGCTGCTGTGGAAATTAGTTTGCTCTGGAGCCCTCCTTCCTGAGTGGGGACAAAAATGTGTGAGCCGGAGGCTAAAAAACTGTGAGCCGGCTCACACTGACTCAGCTCAGAGGGAACACTGAATGTGCCCCACCTAAGCAAATCAGGTGAATTGGTGACAAAAATGGGGGGTGGAAGGGGAGCCCTTCGAGAGAGCCGACCTGACGGCAAAGGCAACGTCCCGCCTTCGTCCGGGCACAGGAGGGGACGCCCCCAACCTCTCGCCCCCTCGCAGGCCAACTGCAGGTAAGAAGATTATGCAGCGGACACATTCGTTCTCCACACCCCACCCACCTTCCACCTGAAATGCAGCAGCCCCCCAACTCTGCCCAACTGACCCCCCCCCCCAAACTGGTCACAAAACGCCGGCTGCGGTGTTCCGTCTGCAATGCCCAGTTTTATTTAAGTAGCAAAGAGCTGAAAAAGGGTTTGGTTCTAAACTGGAGTAAATAAGGTGGAGACATGTTACATTTATACAGAAGAAAAAGCAGAGGGGACCCAGGAAGCGGCTGCTTCCCCCCCCATGGCCCCCCCCCACAAGGGACGCAGGACGTCCTCCCCAAGGTTTCCC